CTCTCTCTCCCCCTCTCTCTCCCCCTCTCTCTCCCCCTCTCTCTCCCCCTCTCTCTCTCGCTCTCTCTCTCTCTCTCTCTTTCCCTCTCTCAAAGGCTTTTCGAGTGCATGTTGCTTTAAGGGCCCTCACCAAGTGATGCTTGGAAAACCTCCTTCACCTTCACATGGTCCCTGGCACAAACCCACTGGATACCTGTCTGGACATGTACCTTCTTTTCACAACTGCTCACCAAAGCCTCCTGAGCTACCCTGCTTCGAGCTCCACGGTCTTCAACAACTCCTGGTGGGTTTTCGGTTTGGCATTCATCCAGCTACAGGAGCACCGCAGTTCGATCGGAGCTTGAGGAAATGGCGGGCAGTCTCAGGCTCCTTTCCCCTCCCCAAACCGACTGTTCCGCTCTCTTTGTCTTCTCATTTTGGTCGGGAAATCTACCCAAATCTGTCTCCAAAATTGCTTCGATCGAACTCCATCACCGATGCACTCAGCACTTCCCTCCCAGCACTTGAGCCTGCACCCTCCGTCCTGGAGCTCCAAGGGGAGCATCGCCAGCCCCAGCGCCAGGGCTGCCCAGGTGATCTCGGCCTCGGAGGAAGCTTTGCCCGATCGAGGACCTCTGGTCCAGTGGGATGGGTCATCCTTCAGGTCATCCTTCTGGTACCCAATCCAAGCACCTCAACAAGGTCCTTGATGCTTTGAACAATTTTTTGTTGGACATGGAGAACAAAGCAGGATGAGGGATTTCCGTCCAACCTCACAAAAACCTGGTTTGGTAGAGCAATCCAGTATATAATCGGTTGCAGTATATACAAAAATACACCGAATGATATAATATGCATTGTACAGTATAAGTTATATGTCGGCATATCTAAACATTATAAAATAGTGGGTCTTCTCTACAAGTTGACAAGACTTCCAGCACCTAAAAAAAGAACGTTCCATCCGGGTATTCATCCATAGACTCCCATTCCTGGCCGTCGGCGCCATGCAGCCCCGTCGCCATGTGCGGCTGAAGACGGGCGTCTTCGCAAAAGATCCCTGGCGACTCCGCTCGGTCGCTTGGTGATACGGGCACTCGATGGGTATCCCAAAAAGATACACCCATGCCTCCACCAGTGGATGGAGCCAAGTCATTGAAGAACGACCCGAAAGTGCAAAGCTTTCCACTAGCCAGGTGTGCTTCGGGAGAAAGGAGCCACGAAAACAGGTTGATCCATCCAAATCGTCCAGGAATGGCTCATCCGTTCGGCAAGGGATGGCCTTGCAGAATGGCACTGTTCACCGACCAAGGGTCGCCACTGCTCGTCACGTCGAAGACATCTGTCGAAAGCCACTGCCGAACTCATATTCACCGTGTCCATGTTTTGAGCAGCGGCATGACAGGTCTTTCTTTTGAGGCTCCTTCTTAGAAAGCACAGAGGTTGAACGAAAGAAGGGCAGCCGGCCAAGCCATCCTGGATTTACAATCTGCCGCTCAAGCCAACTTACAGCTCAGATGTCATGGAAACAAATGCTTCCAATGTGGGGTTCAGCTTGTGCAAAAGCTCGCGGGTTGAGCGAGGCTCTGCATGACCCTCTCAGCCGTCAACAAGAACCAACACGGGAAGCTTTGACCAAGGCTCCTTCATGCGCATTGTTTAAGAGGTCATGCAAAGGCACCCAAAGCAAAGGCTTGATGTGCTTTGGGTGCCTTCATGTGCTTTGAGAAGCTTTAAGAGGCACCCAAAAAGAAGTCTCCATCTCTGCAGCAGTCAGTTCCAGTAGAGCCAGCGTTCGCTATCGTTCGTGATATATTCTATGAATGATCACTCCTGTGCGAAGCTCACGAAGTCAGTGAATCAGATTCCTAGATTCATCTCAGAAGCCTCACTTGAACCAAAAGACTGGGGACACTTGAGACACTTGAGACATCTCAGAAGCACATATTTGTCAAGCTAGCTTCTAGCTCGGATTCTAAATCACTCCCTTTGCCCCAAAGACCGACCAGCATTGCTCAGCAACCCAGGCCAGGTATGCCTGATGAAATTGGGCATAGCCGAAGGATCCGCGGTATCTTCACCGCTGGCTTTCCTGCAAGCAGCTGACATGAGAAATGTCTTAGGGTGGCAAGACTGCGAGATCATGAATCTTCCAGCTCTATGACCCGCTGTTGGCAATCTAGTCGGTTCCGAGAAAGGAGACGCTTCAAGCATGGACAAATACCTAATCGAGGTGCCTCCTGTAAATATTTGACATCTGATTTGATAGGAAAATGATTTGCTTTGGCTTCCAAACAGGGGGTCACTCAGGTTCTAGGTGTGTATGGATGTATTTATGTGATGTTATGTACATGATTGCATATATATA